CCGCTGTTCAGACACGAGACTTCTCCCTAGTTCTGCATGTACCTGTCATGTATTCATGTCTCTGTATTTTCCTACCTTTTGGAAAAATATTACAGGAACACCAGGACAGACATTTGGCTATGTTTTATGAGCAGCTAACAGTAATGAGTCATATGGGCAAGTGCTGAGCTAGTGACCGCCGACTCAAATAAATCAGTTCCCTTCTCTGCTTCTCAGTTTTCTTTCCCTAAATGAGCATGACACAGTATACCCATTGGTTCATCCAGTGGACAAATATTTATTGAGCTTCGTCTGTGCTTTGTACCAGTGCAGGGTGCTAGAGCTACAGTGGTCAACGAAATACATAAGGTTCCTACCCTTACGGAATTTCGAGATCAGTGGATATCAAAACCTTGCAAGGACAAACACTCCGTATCAGTCAAAAGCAATACGTGTATCTGCTTATGGAAACATTCTTTTTTCCCCGTCTCTAAAACCAAGGATCCGGCATGTCTCCACTATGCACTGGCCCTTACTTGACCACACTTTAACGGCAATGAACTGTAGTTTCCTCAAGGACAAACGCACAGCTTTAGAATTTGCATGTTCCTGATGCTCGGGATGGTGGGGTAGCTGGCCCTGAGCCCCGAATGTGGCCTCAGGCCCAAGAGTCCCTACCCTTTTTCCTTTCCTAAATGGTCTTTCAGCTGGGGCAGGCCATTGTAGATGTTGAATATATGATCACCATGATAATAAAACTGGTATTTTTCTCCACAACTAATGATGGGTGAATCTGTGCAAAGATACCTTTGTTAATATTAATGATTTGAACAATTCAGTCCTGAGTGTGTAGACGTTCAGGGCACTGCATTTCATGTTCATTAAACCTCAACTGGTTGAGACTAATGATTTCCCTCCCCGGTTTACACCCGTGATTAGCCGCTGAAATCTGATGTAGGTCATTTTGGTCGATTTCATTTGGTGTGGAGTTAGACTTAGCTCACTGATTATAAAAGAAACCATCTTCTATCTTCACTCTCAGTTTGGATTATGATAATTTCTGGCCCTTCTCTTGGCTCTGAACTCACCCAAATACTCCATTAGCTTGAGTAACTGCAAGTTTACTACTTAGGAAGTACGGGGGATTCTCATGAATAACCCACAGCCATCCTCACTGCAGACTGAGATCTACTAATTAGTGTCAGGTCCAGGCAAAGGCCCCCCCTGGGGAGGGCCCCAATGCTGATGGGGGACCAGAGTTTAGTCAGCTCTGGTGAGTCAAGCCCCTGGGCGCTATAAGGGAGTGTGTTAAGTGTCATTAAAGGAGGGCTCAATTCTTGCCAGCAGTCTGTTCCTTTTACCACTACCTATGCCCCCAACCCTCCTCCACTCAAAGGGGCAGAACAGAGGACTGTATAAAGACAAGTAAAACCTCAGGCTGGCCATTCCAGGAGTGGCTTGAGAGAGAGACAGAGAAGAGAAAGAGAGAGAGGTGTGGTGGGCACCTGCATAACATGCCCCCCCCCCCCACTTCTCCCATCCAATCTTTCCATTGCTTTCTGAGGACTAGGTCCCTCCCCTTTTAACAACGTTCCTTTAAATTAAACTTTGAGGACAAAGGGTATTTGACACCTTAAGAAGTAGGATGCCCTAAATTTAGAGTCTCAATTCTGAACTTTCAAGTCTTGAAAGCCACTCATTCGACTACTCGTATATTTACTGAACAGATGGTCATTGAGTAGCTCCCACGTGCAAACACTGGGGATACAATGGTGAACACTTCCAGTCTCCATCTCGGAGGAGCTTATAATCCGGAGCGAATGTAAGAGATTATTGTAACTGTGTGTCGGAAAGGTCATGCCACATGGCCTGTGATGTGTTATGGGAACACAAAGGAGGCCACCCAACCCAGACCGGGGAGGAGGTAAACCAGAGGCTATAACCTACATTGCAGCTAAGACCTGAGGGACACGGAAGTAAGAAATGAGGATAGGACGTGCATATTCAGTTTACCTTTCCATCACTGTGATTGGTAACTTTGGGGGTATCAGAAAAAAGACAGGTCTTTCCTGAAGGGGGTCCGAGTGTAGCACCTGAGTATGACCTACCAAAGGCTGCCTCAGAGTGGTCATCGAGGCTCAGAGAAAACCAAGGTTAATATCAGTTAGGAGTGGAGTGCCCCTGACTTTGGGATCAAAATTCAAGAAACATTAAAGATATTTTCTGGTTTCCTTTTCTTGACTCAGCAAATTAGAGGCTAGAGGAGAAATAAAGGAAGAGTTACTAGCTCTGAAAACGTGAGTGCTAACGATTCCACGTATTGTTACCAGTTTTAAAAATAGTGCAATCTTGTCTATGTAATATAATTACTTATCATCTCCCTTGCTTAAAACAAATTGGAGTGATGTCTTCTAGGAAGATACAAGAGTGTCATGGCAGAGACACTATGAATTTGTGGTGAGAGGTTGGGAGTTGAGGGAGCACTGGAGACGGCACATTTGGCACTGATTTTTGGCCCTTGATTGAGATTTAAGGAGGGGATGGCTCAGAGTCTGGTAGAAGAGGTTGGACAAGTCATTACAAGTCAATGGAAAGTGCGAGATGCTCTGGCAACATGCAGGAACAGAATGGAGAAGCAAGCTGGGTGTCCCACGCATGGGTGAGAACACTGAAGGCATGCTAGGCAGGACTAATATCTCTAAAGTGCCCCTAACGTCCTATGCTTTCAAGTAGCCACACGACATTGTTTTATATCCTAGCTTTGCGATGATAGCATTTATTTCGGCTTTAATGAAGATAACCTCATGAAGGAAAGGAAACAGAATTTAGGGACATTGACAGGATTGTTCTTTTTTTTAAATTGCTTTCTCATTTTTGTTGCTGTTAGCATCTAGAATGCAGGAAAATCAAATTAAAATAGTAACACTTTTAAAAATTTTATACAAAATGTTCAACCATACACAAGAGTGGAGAATAAATACAACAAACCCTTTCATAGGCTACCGGATTTGTCTCTATAACTTCCCCCATCACATACACACAATTTTTGTCTGTATATGTCAGGAGGTATCTGTATCAAAGAATAACTTCTTTAAAAACAACCACAGTGGCACCTGGGTGGCTCAGTCGGTTAAGCGCCCAACTTCAGCTCAGGTCATGATCTCTCGGTTTGTGAGTTCAAGTCCACGTCGGACCCTGTATTGACAGTTCAGAGCCTGGAGCCTGCTTCAGATTCTGTGTCTCCTTCTCTGCTCCTCCCCCACTCACACTCTGTCTCCGTCTCTCTCACAAAAATAAGCATTAAAAAAAAAAAAAAAAAACAACCCAGAATGCAATTATCATGTGAGGTAATACCCAGAACATATCAAATTTTCCTAAGCTCCAATAGTATTTTTATAGTTATCTCATTCAAACTAGGGTCCAAATAAGATCTACACATCATATTTGAGCGAAAGAACACTTAAGTCTCTTTTACTCTGTAAGTTCTTCTCCCCTCCCTGTTTTCATGCCATTTACTTGAGGAAGGGGAGAAATGAGTCACTGTCCAGTGTAATATCCTACCTTCTGGACTTGGCTGACCGTTTCCTCCTCGTGTCATTCAGCCTGTTCTTGTATTTACTGCAAAAGCTGGATTAGATTCACAGATGCTGTGGCCTTTCTGACGTATTACATCACGAGGTACATGATGTCTGACCGTCCCACTTTTAGAGATGCAAAAATCGATCAGTGGGTTCAGGTGTTATCAGCACGGTCCATCCAAAGGTTCCCTGTCGACCTCTCACCTAATACTTCCTGACGGTGGCTGCCTGGATTCCTTATTTCATCATGTGTTCCCGCGTGGGGGTTTTCTAACTGTATCATTCCTTCTGTCTGTAGTAACTGGAATTCTTCTCTAAAGAACTCCTTATTACCTCTTTGGTTGCTCTGAAATACAGTTCATACCAGAAGGGCAAGGTAAGTGCTTGGATAAGTGCCTTTGTCCACTCTTAACTCAATTTAATCCCGTGTAGACATTGTTTTCCAATGTTCAAATTGTCCCCCTCCTTGGCCAGTGAGGTCTCCTCTAGTCGGCTTCTGTGTCGTTTTGACCTGACCCCAGCAGGACTCGATACCTCCCGTGCTTTTGAGAACAAGCTTCTACAAATTCTGATGAATTAACTAGACTTGGAAAATCCTTAGCCCCCCACCCCCACTACCTTTTTTTTTTTTTTTTTTTTTGCCTGTCCATGACAAGAATGTATACTAGTTGTCTTGGTTAGGAAGGCTTTCAGCTATAAGTGAGCATAATGAACAAACGAGTTTTCAATTTTTTCACAGAACACGAAGTCTGCAGCAGGCAGCTGTTAGCATTTGTTCAGCAGCTCCTGAGGTCCAGAGCCAGCATTGCTGTGATTCCCTTGGCCTCCCCTTCCTGGTTGCAAGATGGCAGCTCCTATTCCAGGCATCATGCCCAACTGGGGCAGGAAGAAAGGGGAAGACCAGAGCCAGCTGCAGCTGTCCCTTTGTATCAGAAAAGCAAAAGCTTTCCCCAAACCGCCATGCCACCCCCCTCCCACCCAGCTGAATTCTACTCAGATCTTATTGGCCAGACTGGATTGGATGGACACCCCTATTTGCAAGGGAGGCCAGGAAAGTGAGCACTTAGTTTTGCTGGGTTCCGTGGTCCAAGCAAGCAAGGGAGTGGGGGCTGGGAGTGAAGAGAGGCTACGAGTTCTGGGAGAGCGGTCCTGAGTCCTGAATCAATGTTCCGTATCTTTTTTTTTTTTTTTTTTTTTTAATTTTTACAGAATGTCTAATATTCCTTGTTTTGGAGTCAGTGGCACAACTGAAAACAATTGTGGGCTAGAAACGAGTGGAGCTTTACTTACACGACCGCCCTAAGGAAAGGAGTGTCAGCTGTTTGGACGGCCCTGCCCTAGCGGCTCAGCTCAGCCCTGTTCAGCTGAGATGCCAGCCCCCGCTGCAGGGTCTGTGCTGCCAAGTGTCCCTCCTCTTCCCATCTGTAAGGGGACAGAGGGTCTCACCTTCATGAAGACAGACACCTCATTTGAGCTGTAGCGGCCCGTGCGGTGGCAGAATACCTTGCGGCTAGTTTCACAGAGGCCACTCAATCTTCACACTGTGAAGCAAAGAGCAGGGCCAACACGCAGCCAGCACTCCGCCGACACCAAAACCCTGAGCTTATTCTGCAGAGACCGACACACAGCCATTGCCTGCAGCCTCCCAGTCCCGTGGCCGGGCCATCCCCTCTCCTCTGCCACCTGCCCGTGACCTCCTTACCATCCAGTAACTGAAGGCTGAAGCCTGGCCTAGCAGCGGCCCCTGAGACCCTCCTCCCACCAGCACTAGGCCATCCATTCTGTGTCCACACATTTACGGGCCGTTTAAAAAGGATTCTTTTCCTGGGACGCCCGTGTGGCTCAGCGGTTAAGCGTCCGGCTCTCAGCTTCGGCTTGGGTCATGATCTCACGGTTTGTGAGATGAAGTCCCGCACCGGGCTCTGCGCTGACGGTGTGGAGACTGCTTGGGATTCCCTCGCTTTCTCTCCCTCTGCCCCTCCACCACTCATGTGATCGTTCTCTCTCTCCAATGAATACAACTGGTTTTAGAAATTATAAAAATAAAAAATATTTTTGCTACGTTCCATGAGAAAGAACATTGTTACTATTCTTCCTGGTCATTTTTCTGGACTGTCCATGGCTGAAGGGCAAATGGGTAGTTAGCGATAACTAACTCAAGGAACGGAAGTGGATACTTTCATCGCTGACAATCTTGATTTCCTCAAGGCTCACAAGTCTTGTGTTAGAAAACCTGAGTTGTTCTGATACTGGTTCTATTTCTCCTTTAACATTCGTGCTGCAAGCAAACGAAGCCAGACTCAAAAGAACACACTCCATTTCATTCCATTTTATAGTAAGCAACGCTACAAGAGGTCACGAGTGGCTACCATTGGGGGAAACACTGAGAGGGGAAGGGCACAAGGGCCTCTGGGGTGCTGGTTTTGTTCCTTCTCAATATCTAGGTATTGAAACTGCCAGTCACTAACCCAATATCCATGTTCCTTTCTCCTTTCTGTAAGAACCCGATTTCCTTGTGGGAATGGGGATGGCACGTGAGGCGCTGAAAACCACATTTCGCGGCCTCCTTTGGAACTAGGGCTGGTCATATGACACACTACAGCCAATGAGATGCATGTGAAAATCAACGGGACTTCCAGGGAATCTCCTTTAGGCAGACAGGCTCTGTGCGCCACACCCAGAACTCCTCTGGGAGTGCACTGAAGGATATACCGCCCTCAACCTCACTCATCCCAAATGTCCATTCACGCACTCTTAGTAAAATTCCCCCATGTCACTGGGTCTGTGGTTTGGTTCATTTATTCAACAAATACTTACTGAGTGCTCACGACAAGTTGGGCATGTGCTGATCAGGTGTTCCAGATTCAGATGTCCCATGGCCAGGGCAGTAATTAGAGATGTAGGCCTGGGGTGAAGGACCAGAGCAGATGAAGGAGAAGCGAGGCCCTGGCTAACAAGGCGGGTGTGTGGGGGGGGGGGGGGGGGGAGGTGGCAGAGAGCCACTGCTCAGCTCTAGCAGGTGGTTTGACATGGGAGAAATTCAAATCTCAAGTTGCAAGATCTCATTTTTCAAGAGGGGCCAGAAATCTTGATTTTAGTTTTTGAAATTAAGTCTGCCGTGTGGGTGGACTTCTAGCTATGGCAGAGTAAAACTGGACAAAGTATATTAGTTTTCTACTGCTACGTAACAAATTATCACAAATTTAGCATCTCAATCGACACATATTTGTTAACTCACCTTCTTGTAGGTCAGAAGTCCAGGCAGACTCAACAGGGCTCTCTTGCTCAGTGTGTCACATGGCTCAAATCAAGGCATTAGCTGGACCAGGCTTCTAACTAGAGGCTTTGGAAAAGAATACACTTCCAAGCTCGTTGAGGCCAAAGTCATCACATTATGCCACATGAACATAGACAAGGAAATCAAATCCAGCAGCATGAGACAATGACCAAGTAGAACTTACCTTGGGATACAAGGTTGTTTTGGCATCTGAAAATAAAAATAATGTGTCATATTAATGTAATAGACAAAACCTACATGGTCATGTCAATACATGCAGAAAAAGCATTTTACAAAATCTAATGCTCATTCATGATGAAACTCTTAAACTCTGAATGTAAGGGAACTTCTTCAAACAGATAAAAAACCACCTAAAAAAACCTATAGCAAATATCATACTTAGTAGTGGAAGACTAAAAGTGTTTCTGAGAACAAAGCAAGAATATCTACTCTCACCACTTCTTTTTTTAAAGGTTTCATTTTTATGTAATGTCCACACCCAACATGGGGCTCAAACTTACAACCCCGAGATCAAGACTCTCCTGCTCCACTGGCTGAGCCAGCCAGGCATCCCAAAGAACTACTCAATATCACTTCTATTCAATATCATACTATAAGTTATAGGCTGTCAAGAAGATAAGAAAAAGAAATTAAAGGCGTTCAGACTGGAAAAGAAGAAATAAAACTGTCTTTATTTGCAGATGATATGATCCTATATCTGGAAAATACTAGTGTATCTGAAAATACCACCTAGAACTAATAAATGAGAATGCCACAGGATATAAAAATCAATATTTCTATATATTGATAGTGAACAACCTATAAAGAAAATAATGCAGTTCATAATAGCACTAAGAAGGAAAATATTTAGAAATAAAGGTGACAAAAGACGTGTAAGACCCAAAAACTACAAAATACTCCTGATAGAAATTTTAAAAGATCTAAATAAATGGAAAGATATACCATGTTCATGAATTGTTAAGATTCATTACTGGTAAGATGGCAATTCTCCCAAAATAGATCTATATATACAACTCAACTCCAATAAAAATCCCATCCTCAAAAAAAAATTGTTTTGGATACTAGCTCTTTGTCCGATATGTCATCAGGAAAATACAAATCAAAACCACACTCAGATACCACCTCACGCCAGTCAGAGTGGCTAAAATGAACAAATCAGGAGACTATAGACGCTGGTGAGGATGTGGAGAAACGGGAACCCTCTTGCACTCTTGGTGGGAATGCAAACTGGTGCAGCCGCTCTCGAAAACAGTGTGAAGGTTCCTCAATAAATTAAAAATAGATCTACCCTATGACCCAGCAATAGCACTGCCACAAATCTACCCAAGGGATACAGCAGTGCTGATACATAGGGGCACTTGTACCCCAATGTTTATAGCAGCACTTTCAACAATAGCCAAATTACGGAAAGACCCCAAATGTCCATCCACTGATGAATGGATAAAGAAACTGTGGTTTATATACACAGTGGAATACTACGTGGCAATGAGAAAGAATGAAATATGGCCTTTTGTAGCAACGTGGATGGAACTGGAGAGTGTTATGCTGAGTGAAATAAGTCATACAGAGAAAGGCAGATACCATATGTTTTCACTCTTATGTGGATCCTGAGATACTTAACAGAAGACCATGGGGGAGGGGAAGGAACAAAAAAAGAGAGGGAGAGAGCCAAACCATAAGAGACTCCTAAAAACTGAGAATAAACTGAGGGTTGATGGGGGGTGGGAGGGGGGGAGGGTGGATGATGGGCATTGAAGAGGGCACCTGTTGGGATGAGCACTGGGTGTTGTATGGAAACTAATTTGACAATAAATTTCATATTAAAGAATAAATAAATAAATAGTTTTGGTAGAAATTGACAAGATGATCCTAACATTTACGTGGAAGTGCAACATACTTCCCATAGCAAAACAATTTTGAAAAAGGACAATATAGTTGGAGTACTTACTCTGCCCCAATTTCAAAACTTACAATAAAACAGGGGTGCCTGGGTGGCTCAGTCGGTTAAGCGTCTGACTCTTGATTTCGGCTCAGGTCATAATCTCATGGGGTTCGTAAGCTCAAGTCGCAGGTTGGTCTCTGTGCTAACAGTGCAGAGTCTGCCTGAGATTCTCTCTCTCTCTTTCTCTCTCTCAAAACAAATAAGTGAACTTAAAAAAAAAAATAGTCAAGACTATGTCACAATAATGTAAAGACAGACACAGATCAACGGAAATGAATAGGAAGGTAAATTGATTTTCAATGAAGGTGTCAAGGCAATTCAATTAGAAAATGACACTCTGACAAATGGTTCAGGGGCAACTGACTATCCACATGCAAAAAAACAAATCAATGATAACATACATTGATAAAATAGATCCTTACTTTACATCATGCATACAAATTAACTCAAATTGGGTAATAGACTAAAATGTCAAATTGAAAACTATAAACTTGAAAAAAAAACACAGGCAAAAGCCTTTTGACTTTGGCTTAGGCAAAAATTTCTTAGATATGACAGCAAAAACAAGATTCATAAAAGAAAAATTGGATAAATTGGTATTCATCAAAATGCAAAACTTTGGCACCTCTAAAGATATCATTAAAAATATGAAAAGACAAACCACAGCCTGGGAGGAAATACTTGCAAGTCATATATCTAATCAAGGACTTGTATCTGAAATACAAAAACAAATTCCTAAAACTCAGGAAGACAAACAACCCAATTAAAAGTGGGCAAAGTATTTGAATAGATCTTTCACCAAAGCAGATATATGAATGGCTAAAAAGCACACAGACAGATGATCAACATCATTAGTCACCGGAGAAATGCAAATTAAAATCAGAGTGAGATGCTTCTACACTTTTATCGGAACAGCGGTAACCTAAAAGCCAAATAATGCCAAGTGTTGCCAAGGATGCGGAGAAACTAGGACCCTCATATATTGCTGATGAGAATATAGGAGAGTAAGTCACTTTAGAAAATAATTTGTCAGTTTAAAGTGTACAGAGTTATGACATGACCCAACAACTCCACCCAGCAATATACCTGAGAAATGAAAACATGTCCCCGTGTAGAGTTTATATAATTATTCATAACATTATCCACGATAGCAAAAATTTGGAAATAAAGAAAATATAGTTTATCTGTATCGTGGAATAGTATTCAGCAATAAAAAGGAATGAATTGATACAATTACATGAACTACAACGGGGACAAACCTTTTGCTAAGTGAAAGGAGCCACACATCAAAGACTACAACATTGTGTTATTCCATTTATGTAACACTTCTAGAAAGGCAAATCTACAGAGATGCAAGACAAATTATTGGTTGCCGAGGACTTGGAGTGTGATTGACCGCATATGCACGTGAGAAGACTTTTGGGGAGAGATGGGAACATTTGAAAAGTGGGTTAAGGTGATGGCTGCACAACTTTATAAATTCACTAAAAATCATTGAGTTTACCATGTAGTCTGAGTGAACTTTATGATCTGCTAATTAGGCCTCAATAAAGTGGTTAAACATGAAAATTAAATCTCTCAAGTTTAAATGTTCACGACTAATTCAAATTCTTTTGGGGGGGGCAGCTGTTGTGTCAGCACATAGCTCAACGTGGGGCTCGATCCCACAAACAGTGAGATCATTACCTGAGCTGAAGTCAAGAATCAGACGCTTAACTGATTGAGCCACCCAGGTGCCTCACACATTAATTCAAATTCTTAAAAGACCTTTGTAAAAAAAAAATACCCCAAGTCTGTGGTGTGAGCCCTTGGGCTACCCTCTTGAACTGTCAGAGCCGAGTGGCAGGAATAGAAATTTGAATGAACTAAAATCCTCGTCTCCTAGGAGTTGAAGATCCAACGACAGAAAATGGAAAAGTAAACAATTACAGCACCCGATGATAGATGCTGTATGTGGGATGTGCAAAGAGGTGTGGGCCCAGAGAATCCTTGGCTCTGACCGGGCGGGGCTCGGGGCACACCACAGAAGAGGCTGGACACTGCAGTTAGGTTTTGAAGCATAAGTAGGAATTCATGAGATTCGAAGTGCGGAAAGCGGAGAGAAAGGGTGGGTGACACTTCCAGGCAGAGGGAACAGAACTGGCCAAGTCTTGGAGGTGTGAAAAAGCGGTTTCCTTTGAAAACTGGGGAGGATGGAGATATGGCGTACGTGGAGAACGGAAGTGGCAAGAAAGGAAGGTGGGAGCCCCATCACGAAGGGTTTGGCAGGCCGTGTTACAGTTTTCGGATGTGGGATGAAGGAGGGATTCACTTGCTGGAGGACACGGGCAGGCTTCTTCAGGCCTAAGTTAAACTCGGTATCGCTTGGCAAGATCATATTGCACTCATCTAAAAATATTCATTAATATACCGCTTACTGTGTACCAGGCCCCGTTTTAATAGAGAATTTGCATTTTGATTCAGTTCCCAGAACAAACTGATACTGCTGGTCCAGGGAACACAATTTGAGAACCACTGCTTCCTACCAATTTTGTAAGAAAGGTATCATTATCACTACCCTTCCCCATGTTACGGAGGAGGAAACAAACGGAGAGCTAAGCAACCTGCCCAAAGCCGTACAGCCTTAAGCGGTGGGGCTGGGATTCAACGCCAGGCAATGACTGCCATGTCTCCTAGTTCACAGGTTGCAAAGAAGCAGAGTCAAGGGCTGGCATTTTCGATCTTTGTTTGCCACCATCAAAAATGTATTACACACACACCACACATTGGCCTTAACTGACACCTGAGATAAAAGAGTTAAAGATGCCAACCGATGCCAAGGGGGTGGTGAGGAAAGTCTTTGAGGAACTCTGTAAGCCATTCCAATGGAGTATTATTTTGCTCCTACTGGAAGGAAGCCAGGATTTAGAGACGTACAAATATCAATGTACAAAATGACTAATTAAATATGGAAAAGAAAAATCTTTAAATATCACAACTCAAAATTGAACTGTACATGAGTATTCAATATCTGTTGTTTTAAACAGATCTATTTTAAATTTTTTTTACCAATTATGAAAACCAACAATATCTAGAGAAGAGAACACGCTGCTTTTGCAGGGGGGTAGCGGGGAATGTCCCAAGATGAAAATGGCAATTCTTCCGTGACTCTGCTTGCTTTTCACATCTTGATCTAATTTATAGCATCTCCCTGGTTGCCTTCCAGTAAACAACTTCTTCCTTAAATTGGTGGCATTATGTTATGTGTGAGATCTGAATCACAGAGACTGTAATGCAAACCTGCGTGTTCCATCTCGTCGTTTTGTAGAGTGCTGTGTATCTAATTAAAGCTTCTTACGGGTCCATAAAAAGACCTAACATTAAAAAAGCAGTCTGTGTTGGAGAAAGCCCCAGGGCAGACTGGAGGAGGGGCTTCTTCATTAACAATACACCTATTTGCTTCAGTTCAAAGTTAAGTCATAATATATTAATTTGTATTTGTAGATTTTTAAATATTGCCTAAGCATCAATCAGATCACGTTACCAAATTTACGGTGTGGAGCTGAAAATGGGTCATGTTCTTGCCAGCAGCTCTCCAGCTTCCCAAGAAACACTGGGGATGAATAAATGATTTGCCATGTGGCCAGCATCGACTGCATCCTTGACTTTATTCAAATCAATTTATTATTCTGTTCTTTTTGATTTACTGTTTTGCTCCTCTTATGTCCTTGTTACACTTACAGATTTTATTCAAAACCTGAGCTACACAGCAACAACATAAATACTGTTTTCCAAGAGCTTATCTATTATGGCCATTGTTTTGTGGTTACTGTTACATCTCAGGGGCTATAGGCTGGTGGCAGAGGCCATCAACCACTGGAATTCTCTTGGGAAACCATTAGTGTTGGTGGTCCCCCCCTCCCCTGACAGGGTTCTCTAAATAGTGTATCTCCCTGAGGGTAAAAGTGCATGGTTTTCCAACTTTCTAGTAACAAAGGACCAAATTCCACAAGCCAAGTGATGAGGAGCTATTGCTTAACATACAGTTAGAGTGACAACGTCAGTTTCAAAGTAAGATTTTTCTTTCATGTTCTTTTTAAATCAGAGTGATCCCAGCACTGGGCTTTGACCCATCCTTAAGGAGCAGAGGCCCATCCAGAGGCCTAGAGCCTGAGGCTTTCCCCAGCCAATGATCCATCACCCCACACTAGGGCATTAGGAGGCCCCCTTTAATAGAAAACCTGACGTTACTACCCTGAGAATTTGCACCTCCCAGCAATCCACTCTTACTTCTCAATCATCTTCAGACACGTAAAAGTGCTGATGTGGAGTCCGAAAAACACAAAAAACAAAAAACCATCTCTGACATTTGCAGGTCAAAGAGACACTTGCTAAAGCCACATACTTCTCTTCTGCATCCAGTCAATTTAAGCAAATTTGGAGCATCAAAGCAGCTTTTTAAAATTGATTCCTTCATTCATTCTTGTGTCCTTCTTTACTAGGCGTCTTTTATTGGAAAGGTGGAAAGAAAGGAGAAACAGAAAGTGAAAAGCATATTGGAGAAACCTGGCATCTGGTTTGATGGCTCTCTCTTTTTAGGAACCTCGGAGCTGATCGCCATTGCAAGACAAGCCTGCAAGGGTAGGAGTCAGGAGATCCTCCCCCCCCCCCCACCCCCGCACCCCTCTCCAGCCTTGGCTAAGCTCCCTTTCTGACCCACCTGGCCTGGTGACCATGTCACTCAACCATCTAGTGCCATGGTTAACGTCTGCTGTTTTGAATCCCGGACTTCGTGTGCCTTCACATTTTCCACGACCTTTTGCCTTTCCACCCAGTCTGCAGTGGAGACAGCTAACTGATTGGGCCAGGACAGGGTCTCCCGCTGACCTTTAGCCAACGCTGCATTCAGATGGTGGGCTTCTCTACTCTCGTTTAAACAGCAATAAAATCAACAAAATTCCTTCAAATTGGGTTCCCAGAAATAAAACTGTCGACACAAAAGTGTATATATACACATGAATGTATATTTGGTTTTTTCTCTCGCCTTGCTTAAACTTGGGCGGGAAATGCGGTGAACCTTTAAAAGGGTAAAGCACGCGCTGCCCTCGGCCCCCTGCCCCAGGACGCAGTCAGGTGCGCACGCAGTCCCTTCCCTCCGATTTCCCCCGACAGCTCGCGCTACTTTTCTCGGCCATTGTCCCACGTCCCTGGAGCTTCTTCCCTCACCGTCCCCTCTCCTCGGGCGCGCCTCGCCTGCTTCCCACCGCCGGCCACAGCCCGGACTCGCCGCGGTGGAGGCGCCGTCAGGACGCCCTCCAGCAGACCGCACGCCGGGGCCCGCAGGTGCTCCCGGCCCCGCCCTTCCCGCCGCCCCGCCCCGCCCCGGCGCTGCGTCACAGTGACGCGCGTCCCGCGCAGGCGCAGCTCGGCCCCACCCCCTCCCCGCGCCCGGCCGCCCGCTCGGTATTATGATTTGCGCTGGGTGCGGGGATTCGGCGGCCGGGAGGGAGTCGTCGGCGCCGCGGCCGCTGCAGACGGACGCCTTCCTGCCGGCTGAGGTAGGGACAAGCGCGGAGTGCGGTCGGGCGCGGCGGCCGTGGACCGGGGGTGCGGGCTGGCCTCCGCCGCCTGGTAGCCTGCGCCGTCGCCGGGCTGGACGTCCGGGCCGGGGCGCCCGCCGCAGGCGGAA